CTTTCCCCAAGAGTAACAAAGGTAACAATTGCCTCCTTGATCCCTTTCTTCCTCCCTTCAGGACAGTTGAAGCAGAGACCTGCATCTAATGTGAGAAAAAGAGTTAAAAGGTGACAATAGTCACGAACGCTACCTAAGAAAGTTACCTGACCAGTGATGTTAAGAGTTGACTAGAGAGCTGTTCACCTAGCAGAGAAGTTCTCCTTCCTGCAGGAACTTACCTTTTTGCTCTCTTCCATCTCATGCTCAAACATGGCGCTGAAAACCGGGGAACGCGCTACGGCAGTGGGGAAAATAAAACACAGTTAGAGATGTTCTTTCACTCTGCACGAGGAGTAAAGTGTAGCCTGGCAAAACCTCAACAGCTGTCCTGCCGCTTAAGGCAGGAAAAGTTCTCCTGCAGCAGACAGGACAAATTCAGTAAAACTGGTAAAGAAGTACAGGTTGTGACACAACGTAAGTGTGGTCGATGTAGCTTCAAACTGGGTATAGGAGAACTGCTTCTGTCCTTTCAAAACAAGGCTGAAGAGTACATGGGTGGTAAGGTACAATTCTTAACTTTACAAGAAAGTATTCCTCTGGAAATGTGGTAACTTCTAACAAATGCTTTAGGGATACATTATAGTGCCCTACAGCCACAGAAGGATCCTCCTACCATCCTTGCCATAGGAGGCGACAGGCAATTAAAAACGGAGTAGATATTTCTTCTCTACCCGGAACAGTTCACAAAACAGTCTTTGACTACAATGATAGGACAAGGGGTAACGGACACAAGCTGGAACACAGGAGGTTCCACTTCAATTTGAGAAGAAACTTCTTCTCAGTGAGGGTGACAGAGCACTGGACCAGGCTGCCCAGAGAGGTTGTGGAGTCTCCTTCTCTGCAGACATTCAAAACCCGCCTGGACGCCTTCCTGTGTAACCTCATCTGGGTGTTCCTGCTCCGGCAGGGGGATTGGACTGGATGAGCTTTGGAGGTCACAGAATCACAGAACGTTAGGGATCCCTAATTGGATCTGCAGATCCAATCCCTAACGTTCTGGGATTCTGTGACTACAGCTCTGCAGTTAAAAGAGCTGCAGAAGCCTCCTTTAAAGATGAAGTAGCACCAAAAAAACCCCACTTGCCATCACGTTGCTGTCTCCTATCCCGCTAAGGCCACCCAACTCAATACCGACCTGCGAGTATGGCTTTGTGTGCCTGGAACTCCTGGCCTGCAACGCACAGGCAGCAGTCTGTGAAGCGCGAGTTCTCCCACAGTCCTCCCAGCTCATCGGCCAAGCGGCACTCGGGTACCTTCACCATGTTCATGGTGTTCTGGCCGGAGATGTTGACAGAGTCCTGCACCACACTCACCTGGATTGGGAAAAGAAAGCAAACAATCCCCCCCAAAAAAATCAAAAATCCACATTGGAAAATTCATCTCCCTGCAGGAAGATGCAAATGCAAAGCAAAGCCCACACCTCTCAAGCAGAATCACTGCATGACTAAAAATGTCTACATTTTTAAAGCATCCTTTCTACTCTGCCTTGACCCTGCTCCAGAGCGTCCATCCCAAGTCCTAAACCACACCAGCAGATTTCCTTCTTGACTCCAAATTAACAGCACTTCTATGCAGTTTAGTCACAATTTTATCAGATGGTTTCCTAAGGAAGTAGAACCTTATTTTTCTGCTTTTGCAGACATCATACCTGACCTAGTTTTTTCCTTCGATCAACACTGAAACCCTCCCCAATCAATAATGCAATACAGAGAGCAGAACAAATGAAAATGAAGCACACAGAGAGCTCCTATAACCGAGCACCGCATCCACATGTGTATGCACGGACGGCAAATTTCTTAGGGTTCAGCGCTCCCGTTGCATTATGAAATGAAATTTTTAAAAAGCAAAACCTAACTGCTAAGTCTAGAAAAGCAGCTTTCTGTCATGTAATTAGGAAGATTTGGGGAAGGCAGACAGATCCCTTCTCCCTGAAGCCAGGGACCATACGTAGCCGCACTGGCTGATGAATAACCTCCACAAAGGGAACCGCCAAGAGCCTATTCAGCAGCGCACCATTATTGTTAAACACGCAGTAAATCATCCGCCTTCTCCAGCAGACTCCAATTAAAAAAGATCAGGGTGACTAATACCACCCCGCTATAATAAAGAGCAAAGGAAGAAGCCGACTGACAGGGAAGCATCCGTGAGACTATTTCCTGGATTTGCTGTCAAGTCCAAGTTAAATTTCAGTTCTATTAATAACCAATGGCCAAAGAACAACGGATGGCAAAGGCAGCTTTGCAGTTATGTAAAAGGAGAGGTAAATTACAGAGTGAGACAGACGACAGACGCATCTTCTAAGGAAAAAACCTGCTGACAGTGCATACCCCAGCTCTTGAGAAACCTCCATGGGTTTCTGATGGCAGAGAGATACTCTACAAACTATACAATGCTCAAAATCAAACACCAGCTGCTGCTTGCCAAAGGACACTAACGATTAGCCAGAGCAAACGTGAGGAAGCTGATAGCCTTCGTCATTCACTTCACAGCTACAAAATGTTTTTGTCCCGTGACATCTAAACCTGCAACACGGACTCAGGAATGGCTGAAAACTCATCAGATTCATTACAAGGGAATTTAAGCTGCAGATCCCTTGCTTGAGTAGAATACCAATTACAAACCAGCCAAAAAAAGGCTTGCAAACTCTGTCTCAGATCAACAAATAAATCCTCTTCGTATGTGGAATAAAGTCAGTTACTGCCATGAAAAATCTGTTATATGGCTTTTCCATAAGGAGTTTAGACCCATAGATTCCAAGTGGTGACCAGCCTTAGAGGTCAAAATAGATAAGGTGATGCTTTAAGCTATTTTCCACACCTTAGCAATGGAACCAATGCTATTACCATAACTTTGGCAACACCGTTCTGTTTGGAGATTTACCAGAATTGTATTTACCTATGATGTTGGAATATAATTCAAACAGCAAAAAGCAATGCAGTTGGGATATGAACAATCAATCCCACCTGCGAAACGGAGGTCTGAAAATCCCCAAACTGACAACTGAATGAGGTCCGAATTGAAATGCTTGACAAGGAACATCATTCTCTGCCCTAACAGCATTTTCAGCAAGACATGATCTGTGCTCAGCACGGACACGAGCAGAGAACAAAAGGCTTTTTTCCTTTTAATTTTAATAAAGCAATGAGAGGGTGCAGCAGAGATACTCAGCAACCTGCTGCTCTACAGAAAACCCCAGCATAGCCCCAAAAAACAAGCACCTCAACATCCGGCATTGCTAACTCCTTCGTTCCTACACACAAAACACGCGTGCTGAAAGTACAGATGTGAGCGGCATCGCTTGGCACCTGTGGCCAGCAGGAAAGCATTAGGAGAGCATATGGCCCAGTGGTTTACATGCTAAGAGAATTGTAAACCCAGGGAAGAGAAAGAGGGGAGGGGGGTAGAAAACCCCAAAACCAAGCTGTTGAAAGTTGTCACCAAACTGTTTCCAGACAGCAAAACCTTCCCCTCTGATATCACTAAACTTAAGATTTCTTACATGCTAGGCTGTAAAACAACCTGAAAGAGAAAACAGAAGATCTCAAGGCCAGATGAAGGCAGCAGCAAGTTTTCCCTTTATCCAGAACAAACAGAAACAGCGAAGCTGAAGCTTTTGAGGGGAGTAATTCAGTAACGAGCGGACTGACTTGAATTAGGACTGGTTGCCAAGACTACTGGTGGGTCTCGGGTTTATCTACATCGCACCTCGCAAATTCCCTTCTCAGACATTAATTCTTGAGTTAGGCTCCACAATTGTAAGATTTCTGGATTTTTATCATGAAGGAAGGGGTAATTGCCAGACCTATGGAGGTGTCATCCAAGACACTGACCTCTTCTCCCCCCATATTGCTGCAAGTGCTACAGGAAGAGCTCCCTCCAGGGCAGTAATAATTTATTTTACTGACTGAATATACATCCTTTAGGAGATGTTTGTCAATTTAAATTTGTGCATGTTTACGATGGCCAAACAAAACTAAAGAAAAACCCTGAATAAACCGACCACCACCAAACCAAACCAACAAAAAAAAGCCAAACCACCTTAAAAAGCAGCTGTCCAACAACTTTGACTGAAGCATTTCTTTCACTCCTGAAAGAAAACACGGCAAAAGAAAAGACTCCCATAAAAAAAAAAACACTGCAGGAGACCCAAAGAGAGAACAACTCGTTCTACCTCTCTTCTGGCAGCAATCACAGCTACAGGAGGTGTTTTGCAGTTAAAAAGACAATGGGAATAAGACAGCAGAAGCTCTGAAGACACTAAGTTATAAATAGGTCCGCATCTTTGTCGTAGGATTTTGTCTTACGACTGAATTAGTGTTTGTGAAATAATTTTGTAAGCAGTTTAGAAAAATATAAACACAATGAAGAGAAAATTGTGGCTGCTATGAAAATATTTTATCTTAATTTTGTTTCTTTTTGTTGGCTGCACACTTAGGAAAAGAAAGAAAAATCTTCTGTATTCAGTAAGCAAGTAATAGGTGGGCCAGTTTTCACTACAGAGCTGGTGTTGGTTATTATGCCAAGTGAGTTTCAAATTAAAGAGTACAAGCAGATGGATCTTAATACTAAACCAGAAGTGAAATGACAATCAAACACGCTTAATTTCTACCATCATCGCAGGTAAAAGACAAATACAAAGCAACAGAAAAGAAATGGAAGTGGAATGCGATGAATCACACACAGAAAACGCCACACAGGCACACACACACACACACAGATGAAACCTAAGTGCCACATAAACATCCAGCATCTTCCCTGACACCTCTGACTCCTTAAAAGCAATGATGAAAAAACAGGGTCAAGTCTACCTTAAGCTAATGGAAGTGCTGTTCTCTCAGCTGCACAGGAAGCCTTACCTCACAGAAGAGAGTGAGTTTGTCATCTGGAAGAAGTCCATTGGCTTCATCCAAAAGAAAGTCTCTTCTAATGAATTTTTTGAATCCCCAGTCCTTGCCTTGTACAAATCGATAGGCTCGCTGGCTCTCTGAAAGAAAGACACCGTGCTTCAAACGCCGGCCGAGGGACTCGCTTGATCAAACAGGGGAAGACAAACAACCGACCCCAGCAGACAGAGTTTTTACGCACCCATCGCTTTTGTTTCTTCTCCTTTAGCGTTCAGGATGGAGAATTTGAACTTTGCTCGAACTTCACTTTTCGGACAGCTCACCAGCAACAGATAGAGGGAGAGATAATCTTTGCTTTCTTCATCCAAGCCTTTCGGGTTCACACGTAAACACCTGGAGAAGCAGGATATGAGTGAGATGTCAGGAGCCGTTTTTGGCAGGTCTTTCACAGCTTTCTTTGAAAGCGCAGCGGAGAATTTTCACAATAAAATGTACAGCAAACACGTTCTGTTTAACAGGCGCCGAACCACAAGGAAACACCAGGTAAAACAGAGTGGAAATGTGTGTTACAGTCAGCCTCATGCTACATCTCCAAGACAGATGATAATAGACAGGCAATAACGATGGGCAAACTGATTAAAAACAAAAACACAGGGGAAAAGAGGACTGGGGTATGGCTTAAATTACTGAAAAGTATCCAGGATGTCAACTTTCACAATAGGAAAGTGAAAGAAATAGCAGAATGGAGGCAATGGATTTGAGGAGGAGCAACAGATCCAGAGAAGTGGTAGGCAAAATTCCACAGGAAGGGAAGAATGGGTTTCTGGAAGTCTGGTAGGTTCTCAAAAAAGTAATACACGGGCAAAAAGGGCAAACTACTCCTGCGTGAAGGAAAGGTAGTGAGTGCAGGAAGAGAGTCACTCATAAGCACTTTCATGACCTGAAACTTGACACAGAATAGAACAAGAAATGAAAACTAGGCCAGATGACTAACAGCTCGAGCACAAAAGGACCAAAAAATCAGAAAGATCTAGACATCAGAGTGAGATCTGACCAGCAAAGGTTAGAAAGGTAAGTAATTTACTACCAAAAAGCAGCCCAAGGAAAGCACAGGTCTGCCACCCAAAGGAAGGGAACACAAACTGTATCTCACACACATGCATTAAATTATTTAGTGGCTGACTTGCCACAATCTATACTAAAGAGGTCAAGAAAAATGCTAAAACACTTAACATCAGCAACAAGGGATCAAATAAGGAACCAAGTGCTCATGGATCTACTTAGGACAGCCACGACTCGGTAGATTCACATTGACCAAAGTCCACTCTGAGTTATGGGAATTACTTGAGAAGTCAAGAGAAGATAAGAAAGGTTTCAAGGGAAAGAAAAAGGGCAAAACCAATGTCATCTTTCATGAGCAGAAACTCCTGGGCAGAAGGAGTTAACAGAACATTGTTACTTCGATCATCTCTGTGTTAAGTCTCCGCAATCACAAAAAGCTGCTGTAAAGAGAAAGGCAATACAGCAGCAATACTCTTAAATTGCAGGATTTAGAGTGCGGGCTAAAATTATCTTTTTAACAACATGGAGTGTTAGGGACTGAAAACAGGAGGCTGAAATAGAGCTCGAATACACTGGCTGTGGCCTCTCATCGGCTTATAAGAACTTGTTGAGATAAACATCAGTCAAAAATCCCCTCAAACATTAATAACCCTCCACAGCACATCTCTGCTTCAAGGCAGGATGTCATTCCCCTTCCAGCTATGGCTTCTACCACTGCTGATGTTTTTCATTATCAGAGGAACACTGCAAACAGCCAGATCCTCACATTTGTTCTGTGTGTCCAAACACTCTGCTGGAGCAACACTGCTTTCTTCCTGTGCATATGTTGGACATCCAAAGCAGCAAGAACTCATGTGCAGTACAAGTGGTTTTTTTATGTATTTCCTCTGTTATAGAATCCTAAATTCCTCCACACACTTGTGGGAACAGGGTGAACCTCTCTGCTCTATTTCTTACCACTTGAGTTTATCATTGGCTCCAGATGAAAACGTTGAGCTTTTGATGACCTCACCCATTTCTTCCCGGCAGAAGCTGAAGTTGTTTATGGTCCACATGTAGGAAAACTTCACCACCTTGATCTTAAAACAGAGGATAATAAGCAGGTTAGGGTCACTCTCATTCACTTTGGCTACCCTTAAAGGCAAAAACTGAAAACCTGGAAGTTTACTGAGTCACCTGCGTGACAAACAACCCCCAAGCAGAAGACAACAGAGGCTGGAAATGGCTGGCAGTGGCAGCTGGGTCACTCCAAAACCCAACATTTTGCTGTTGCTTTGGGGAAGGAAGCAAGCGTGACACTGTCTGAAAATCCAGACTCTGAACTTGCTTTCGAATGCATTTCTTACCACAGGTTGTAATTGTGTTGTGTCAAGAGTATCTCAGCGTGGTGTGGGCTTACCTGAGTGTAGCACCAGCTCTCTGCTACGGGTCCACTCGACATTTCTGCCGGAGGAGGAGGACTCGGCACCCTTGACATCGCCAGTTTGAAGATTAAACAGAATTTCACAACTCAGCAGAAGAAATTTCTAACTGATCTTCACCCTGTCAGTCCCAAATAAGAGAAAAAAAAAAACCCAAAACTAAGAACAAATAATAATAACAATAAAAGACTTCAGGAGCGCTGTTAAATCTCACAGGACACAAGCTGAAGTCATCATGTTTTCTCCCTCCCCCCTAGCACCTTCAAAATACGATGTTACAGTCAAACATTTTAAAGCGTTACCATATGTTTTCTGAAGAGGGGATACACCACCTCCACTCACTATTTCAATACGCAGCTCCTTATACGAATAACCCTAGCGTATAATTTCCTTTAAGGAGTCCAAGACTCAAACAGGAGACTCCCCACTTGACTTGGGATTTACTGCTTTACCCTGAGGCCACCATTTCAACTCGCCACTTACTCCCTATTTTCATTTTGAGAGTCTCAGACTACGAGAGATCAGGTTTGTTCTCTTCATCTGAGAGATCAAATGAAGTTCTTAAGCGGAAAAAGCTACAGGTAGCAACATGCAAACCAAACTCCACAGCAAAACAAAACCTCAGGTTCAGAGTTACTTCAGTGGCACCAACAGAATAATTCCCTATAGCTTAGACCTTCTCCTGAAGCCTTTTCTAGGCAAGGTGTTGGTAATGATTTCTCTACTTCAAACCGAATCTCTTTGGCCAGAGGGAAATTCTCCTTGCCTTTACACGCTACTGAAGTTCCCAACTTCCAAATGCCAAGTCAAATTGTGATCTGCAGAAAACATTGGGGGTTAAAGCCACTGCAACACCTGAATGAACACAGAGGCACAACTGCTGAAACACGCACCTAGTTACCAAAAGGGAGATTTTTAAACAAAATAATCGACCCATCTCTGACTTCTGAGTCCCGATCCCTAAGGCGGACACACAAAACGTCTTCAAAGATGAGCCTGGAACCCGAATGGATAACTGTGGCAGATGCAAAAGCATCACATGCCTTACAGCTTAGCTTTCTGCTCAACACTTTGTTTCACAGGTGGTATTTATCTGCCCTCCTCTCGCTGCACGGGATGGCCAGCGCACCGCAAGAACTCCATTGCTGTCAGTTTGGAACTCGAAAGGGTAACAAAAGGCCGAGTAAAAGACATAAAATCATCATCTTGCAATACAAACGGCTTTAAATGCAAAGGCTGATATTGAGGTTCACTGGGGGAGAAAGGCAAAGCGCAGGCTCACGCTCCTGGGGAAGGCAGAGCCATGAGTTGTTGAACGGTGGAAAGCACAGAGAATAGACACCTAAAAATCCCATACCTCAAAACAACAGGAAAGTATTCACAATAACAACATAAACATATATGCACACAGTTCCCCCCAAGCTGCTATCAACACCATTTGGAGTCTTTAAGCGCAGTTGCAGGGCAGGTCTGGATCTGAGTGCAGCTCCAGCTGCAGACCAGAGCTCTCCCAGTCAGGCTCACATCAGCCTCTGCTCCAGTTTATCCTGGCACTCAGGTTTGAGCTCTGTTCACCTTCACAAAGTACCTGGAAATACCAGCATGCAGCCATTCTCTAACTGGAAAACTAGAGTGGGATAACTCAGGTTTAATTTCCTTTAGAAAAGCAAAAGTGAGCCCATGCAAACACTGAAGATCCTGCCTATAAGGGACTAAAAAGTAAGCACCTTAAACTGCTTTACAAACTTCTTGCATTTGCGGTTTGTGCTGTGCATGTGGAATGAGGGGGCAAAAAAAGTTTTCAAATGCTGATTTTAAAAAGAAAGGAACATCAATATGCAGCGTAGGTACCCACTGCAGGTTTTATTACATTAAACTTAAAATTACCCCAATTCCTCCCAAGAAATTCAATTAAACCTCTCTGTGTCATTCAAATTAAGCCAAAATTAGACACAACTTGTGAACATGTAGCTAACTGCCCTTCCATGGGACACATTCAGTCCTGCCAGATCAGTTCGGATGAGGAACCCATTTCCACAGAGGGTATTTATCAACCAGAAGCAGTTTTCTGTAAGACTTTTACTTCCAGGTAAACCGAAGGAAGACACATTAGAGAAGTGGTTTAACACCCAAGGTTAAATGAGTTAACTGAGTTAAAAGACTCCAATGGGTCCTTCTTGAAGACAAATTGGTAAATTTAGTGGTAATACATCCCTTTACAGCATGAAAACAGGGCATTAATGAGGAGGGAAGGAGGAGACAACAGCAGCTTTGTATGTTACAATGGCAGGTTCACCAAGCCTGAGGAGCTGAAGGGTTTCCTGGATGGGGGGCAGATTTAATCCTAAATTCCTGCACCTTTCACTGGTCTCCAAGGAGCAAACTCCAGAAGACTGCAGCCATCAACCGTATAACTGGGGAAGGAAATAGATAACTGTGTGATGCAAAAACGGAAACTTTAACAGCTTTCCATGTTTCAACAGGATTTTCAGATACCTAAATACTACCTCTTACATATGCAAAGAAGTCTCAGAAATCTTCTGTGCCCTAAAGGCAAGACAAACATACGAGCTTGAGATACACAGGACTATTTAATTTCCTCGGAGTAACTGTCGCTGTTGTATCTTCTATCCTTTCCTCCCAGATGGCCTGGATAGGCAGGTGGTAATAAAAGTTATGACAACGTGCTAATAGAACTGCTGCATGCCAGAACGTCATTTGTTATGCTTCTGAAATGGCCCAAAGGGGACAAAGGTTCTAGATTTTAAAGATTTTCTACTATATGGAAAATACTTCCACTCTACTATGTCAAAGCTGTTTACAAATGCTTTGTGAAGCAGTCAAACGCAGTTAAAAAAAGATGTTAAAACTCCGATACACTCCTCACTCAGTAAGGCAATCAACCATCAGATACGTGTCATCAAACGACATTACTGGGCCTTTTACTGCTGCAGCGAGTCGTAATGGGAATAAACAGGTAATATCCATCTCTGCCTTCTGCAAAAACTACCGGTAAGGAAAAAGTTGCCGCTTGTCCTGCTTAGCAAGCACACAAACAGGGGACGCACAGAAAAGGTCACTGAAATATATCCTTAGAAACTGCCATGTGTTTTTCCACCTTCAAATGCTGTATCGCTCTTCTGGCACGGACCGCTATGAAATGTATTTTAGAAGGAACCACAGCTGACTTGAGGTAAAGTTAAGTTTCCAAAATCAGCGGGGCACCCTCAGTGTTTATTTTCCCATGAAGGCTTTAATACTTCACCAGTTCACACTTCTTCGCTAACGGTGCTGGCACCTCTGAACTGGGAGTGAAGTAAAAAGCGCTGCAGGCAGAGGCTTTAGGAAAATATTTTGTAAATAGTTTGGGTATGAAAATTCTTTTTGGCCAGGAAAAGCTGGGACAAACTCGAAGGTACAGGCATAAATATGAAGTCGCAGGAAACAAAATACAAAATATGATCTTAGGGACCCCTGCGATCCCATGTACAGTCTCTTACTTCCTTGGATATGAGTAACAAATAGCACTTGGCTCTGGTCATCATTAAGATTACAGTTAAGAAAAATTCTCACCTCATTCACAACCACCTCCAGATGAAGACACTGAATGTAGGAATCAGAGCCAGATCAGACCTTTCTGAAGCACAGGAAATGTTCCCTTGCCACCTTGTCCTCATAATTGCCTCCCGACTTCCAGCTGTACCAAACAGCTCCAAACTTCATCTACTGTAGGAATCAAGTCAAAACTATTCTGTGAAGCAGCAGAGACTTGACCTGAGGGTGGTGAGGAATCTCAACTCAACAAATAATTCTAGAAGAGGCCTCAAAATTACCAGACGTTTGCTAAACAGCCTTTCAACTCCTACTTCTCAAGATACACCAACTACCTTTTGAGAAACCAGCAGTTTACACTAGAAATTTCCAAGTATATTGGTTTTTAGTAAGCTTCATTCAGCAAAAGATAACTTACAGAAGTCTAAAAGAGGTATATTTTTAATTAAATGTTTCAAAAACTGAGGTGGTTGCTTCTTGGACCAGCGACGTTAACAAAGACTACCCAAGAACAGCACAAAGTGCAGAGAAAAGGAGCAGGACAAAGATAATTGGAGCAATAAAACAAGGGGATGAGATATGGAAGCACAGGAAAAGACCATTATCTGCCTGCACTCTTCAAAGCCTTGCAAAGGACAATGGAAAGCCTGAATTCACTGTGGTAAAGAAAGAGAAAGAAGAAAAGAAAATGGAAAGGGCAAGTTAACTAAAAGAGCAAAGTGGGATGCACTGCCATCTAACTAGGGGATTAATAAAATAAGTTCTCAGATTTAAATGTACACATTGAACAGGACATCACACCACTCTTCCCCCTTGGCACCCCCAGAAGGGAGCAGCGATGGGCAAGGCGATAGCCAGTGCTGACGACTGCCAAGCGATAGCGACTGCGAGGTCTCCTGTGTGGCAGGAAACCTCGTCCAGCTGCAAATGCAGGTTGAAAACCAGGCACAGTGAATTCCAGAGGTTACACAAAGTTGCCTAATTATTAACGTGGTGGTGTAGAAGAGACTGCACCAAGGGAGTGAACAGCCTGTACCAATTAAACTAGAGTAAGATTAGAAATCACTTATGAAAAATGAAAGCGATCCATAGCAAAAGTCCTGAGAGCAAGCCTGGGTTACACAAGGCAGAGGCTTTTCTCTCTAGAACTAAGAAATGTGAATATGTCTACAACAAGAAGCCAATCACCACCTGGGAAAAAACCACTGAGCTCTAAATGACACATGGAGTTTCACTTCCAAACTTCGGTCATAAGAGAACAGACTGGAAAATCAACACAGTCACAGCAGAGAGATAAAAGGAATGAACTGGCACCCAGTGAGACGCACACCAGGCCAAAGGACCTACAGCTTCTCATCTGGAGACAGAAACAAGAGAGACAAACTGGTTTCCTTAAAACACAGCGTTGTCCCCATGACACCAGCAGCAGCACTCAGGAATTTGGATGGGTACCTTCTTTTTATTATAGCCCAAAGCTGCCAAGTGCATCAGAGAAGGCCAAATT